GTTAATGGTACTGGAAAATGTATATGGTGCTGTTTTATCACAATAAAGCACCAAGTAACACTTGATTTCTACCAATGGAGTCCTGTGGTTTTCTTTCCTGATTTTTGAATGAAGAAGGGCTGACAATGGTTTTATATGTCAATTTATATTTGAAAAATATGTATCCATTGGAGGTAATATTTCTTCTTCCCAAACTAGTGATTATGGATTTGAGCGCCACAGCAATGGCCAGTGTTTGCCAGCTTTTTGGTATAACCCATCATCTTTGTCAAAAGAGTGCAGTCTTGGTCAAAGTTATCTCAATAGTACTGGGTAAGTACTCAAAGCTATAATATTTGTTTAAGATTATCAACTGTAATGATGATGACCCTTTACCATATTCCTCAGTCTGTGGTTTTCTTTATATCTTGAGTGATACTTTTTGCAAATGGAAAGCTGAGTCAGGATTATCAGAAAGCTATAAAAAGTAAAATTATCCTTTATTGATGACAATACTATCAGAAAACCTTTTCAAGTTTACCCAAATGTCCCTCAACAAATAGACAAGATTAAGATTTATCAATACTGTCTATAAATTTCCTATCACTATATTTGGCAGGTAAAATTTTATATTGAGTTATAAAATTGAAAGTTTACTCCTTTATCCCCTCACATTTGTGAGTTCATTTGGCCCAGCATAGTAATGACAAGTGTTACTTGGTGCTTTATTGTGATAAAACAGCACCATATACATTTTCCAGTACCATTAACTCTGATAACTGTTGTGTTAGTTCTTCTTCACAATATCAGAGTACAACAAGTGGCTAAAGTTCTGTACCAAGTCAATTTATACTGTTTCATGATTCAGTGGTTTAAATATCTGACATGTGACAGTGATAGTCTAGAAAAGGGAGCTATCATTAGAAACAAGCAGCTTGTAGCTAGTATCTTCAGGGTTCTTTGTTCTTCTTTTCACAGGTACAGAAAGGTCGTGTCTAATAACTGCACAGACGGTGTGCGTGAACAGTACACAGCCAAGCCGCAGCAGTGTCCTGGCAAAGCCCCGAGAGGACTTCGGGTTGTCACATCAGATGGCACACTGACATCAGAACAAGGGCATAATGTTACCTTCATGGTACAGCTGGAAGAGGTATGGTCTGTTTAACATGTTCCCCACTGGGGTTTCTGAGTCAGAATCATTTAGAAGAAAATGAATGGGACTGAACAGAATTAATTAACCAAGTGTTATTTAACTGATTAGTGACTTGACAAATTTGAGCTATACATCTGGTCTATCATCCTATTATAAAAAGGGCTTGATTCTTTCCTCCATGGCCTCTCTTGTTTGCTATTTGTACCTCTGCCCTCAGTGACACTGAAATAAGAATATCTGGACTAATGTTGCAAAACATGGCAAGATTATCATGTACAGCATTTTTAAAGCACGCGTTTCTAGAACACCTCATTTTGCAATTAGCATGTTCACAGTACAAAAAAGTCTCGATTAAAATGTTGTTGCAACTGTGACTATTTCAGATAATTAGTTTTATTTTAAGGAAGATTAAGGAAGGACAAGGAGACAAAAATGTTTCTTAAATGGAAGAAAGGTACCTTACAAGAACATAGCCAAGGGATCATATGTAGTGTCAATCAACTGAATAGTAAAAAAATATATGAGGAATGATCAACCAAAAATTATTTAGACACGTGTGAATTTTAGGGTTGCTAAATATAAAGGAAAAACTGCAGTGTGTGCCCCCCCTCGAGCAAAATCCATGCTTTTGAATTTTGCAGTTTGCACAGGAAATTTCCATAGATCTCATTAGTCTAATCTTTAACTGGTATATCACACTGTCTCTCTTATATTTTTCGATGGCATGAGGTGTATGCAAGATTCAAAGCTCCATTAGTAAATATATTGGAGTAAAAAAATGAACTATGCTATAGATGGAGCTATATGGGTGTATAAAGGAGGAAAAGATTTCGTTATACAATATGAAACTTTGTTTGCACAATAGATTTTGCCATATAAAGGACCTTCTTTTCCTGGTTGCATCTTCCGTATCTACCAGATCACAGAGGCAGGGAATGCTATTGATCTCCTCCTCAGAATGTACATCTAGTGGAATCAAGAAGAAGGACCTTCTTCGTGGGGGTTCCTTCACTCTGGAACATCATATAAATATAAGATTGGCTCCATTTTGGCACTCTTTTGCAAGGCCCTGAAGATCTGTGTCCCATTCGAGTATACACCTACAAACACACACGTACAGAGAGATAAAGAGAGCATGAATAGATAATGTGTGTTTATTTCACACACACAGCCAACCCTTACTACAGTCTCTTATACACCTAAGGCACAGAAATGGCACCAGCAAGATTCCAACCCCATGATGCTTGGGGTTCATGATTTGGCCAATCCAAAAGCGGTTTCCGTGGGTTCATGGAACAACAAAAAACGCAAAACTCCAGCAGGTTTTTTAAAATTTATTTATAAAATTTGTAGGCCTCCATCTTACCT